ATGTGGATGTGGAGAAATTGGAACACTCTTACACTGCTGGTGGGACTGCAAATTAGTACGACCCCTGTGGAAAGTAATTTGGAGATATCTCAAAGAGCTAAAAATAGAAATACCATTTGATCCAGCAATCTCACTACTAGGCATCTACCCAAAGGAAAAAAAGACATTCTATAATAAAGATATCTGCACTCTAATGTTTATGACAGCACAATTCACAATTGCAAAGATGTGGAAACAACCCAAGTGCCCATCAATATATGTGTGGATTAATAAAGTGTGGTATATATATACATCATGGAATACTACTCAACTACAAAAAACAATGGTGAACTAGCACGTCTTATATTATCCTGGATAGAGCTTTAGCCCACCCTTCGAAGTGAGGTATCACAAGAATGGAAAAACAGGCAATGCATGTACTCGCCATCAAATTGGTACTAAGTGATCAACGCTAAGGTGCTCACATGGTAGTAATATTCATTGGGTGCTGGTCAGGTGGGAATCGGGTGGTGGGGGTGGATAAACTCACAACTAATGGATGTGGAGCATACTGTATGGGGGAAGGGCATGCTTGTAGCCCTGGCTTGGGTGAGGCAAAGGCATTATATGTAACCAAAATGTTTGTACCCCCATAATATTAAGGATAGTCTCTAATCACCATGTCCATTGATATAAAGTTAGAAATCTACCTCCCCAAAGAAAGAAAATCAGTATTTATAAAAGTCAATATTTCACATATATGGTTAGTGTTATGACTACAATCTATTTTCCAGTTCTTAAGCTTTTCACCCGTGACCAACAGGGAAAAAAATGTTGCTATTTATAATGGGGTATTCTGAGTTGAACAGTTTTTGCTTACTTCATTTCAAAGGATTTGCTAGGACAAACGGATTGGTTCAAGCTGAAATAGCCCAATTACTAATAAAAACTGCCTCAGGCTTTAAGAGCCTATTGGGCTTTAAAATCAATGATGCTATGGTATTTGCATCCTTAAAAAGACAGTTGGAAAACAAACTAAACAAATGTTACATATCTATTCTCCAATGCTATTTCAAAGTATTTCTATTCTTCATTTATGTGCCTATTTAGGAAACATACACTGCCAACTCTGTCAATATTGCTAAATTGCTAATGGGGATAGGCCAAAAGAATTAGGACATATTATGAAAAAATTCAGATAAAAGTAATTCACGCATGTAGTTATTTATATATCCTATTTTAACTTTAAATTAATAGGGGTCATAAGAAAAATAAAAATCAAGACATAAATGTAACCTTGCTTTGAGTCATGGGCTTTTGTATTATGCTGCTCTTTAGACAATTTTACTGTCTACTTTAATCGTGCCCGTTAGACTTTTGTATTAGCCTTGGAGGGTAAGATTATATTACAATGTGCCCCTATGATTATGGTTCAATCATAAAACCCTAAGCACATATGTAAGCCAACGGAACTTTCTTTTCTTATGGCAAACACAGAGGAATGATAGATACATGAAAAGTACCCTTCACCTTTCTTTTAATAGTGGGTCCTCAACCAGGCGCTGGATCAGAAAGTTGGGACAAAGCCTTCCCGTTTGCCGCAACTCTTGTGAAGAGATTCCCTGGTATAAACTAGACACCCATGGAAACTTCCATAGCAACGAAGAAACAAAAGTGGCTCCCTTTTAAAATTCATTCATTCATTCTTCTGACTGTTTAACAAATTTTAAAAAAAAAAACGGCAAGGTGACAGGGAAGTTGCTAGGCACAGAGGATACACATCTCTGAACTATTTTGGGTGTGGAGAAAGTAATAAAAATTAAAACAATATGATAAGAAGTAATGATCGGTTGGCCATGGTATCAAACTTCAAGAAGTACACAGAGAGAAAGAATATGCAGATAATTCAAGGCAGATAGGGGTGGAGCATCTCTGAAGCCAAACAATAAAGTAGGCAGGTAATATTTTACAGAGTATATTGGAAGTAAGCAAAGTTGTTGTCAGAATTAATAACGGCTCCATATTTAAAGACTGAATTTTGAGAAACTGAATTAAGAGGGGAATAAAATTTCATAATAGAAGCAGATATGTAAAAATTGGAAATCCCCTCACAAAACATGTTGGACAAATTATAATAACGAATGTACAGAGGTGTTTCTAGAAAGAACCATGACTCTTTCCTTAGCCACATTATTAAGGAGATTATAGAGAACTCAATATAAACTCTTGTAAACTCCTCAGAGTTTTTCATAAATAAAAGATAAAATTATAACTGTGGATGTGAATGCATGTATCTCCCACGCCTCTTCCCCAAACACATACACCAACTTCTCTTTACAAACTCATTCATTATCCAAAGAGATGAAAAGTAGAAACTCAACAATGCAAGAAAGTAGCAAAGAAATCTTGATTTTGAATTTAATTTACAGAAACTACCACTATCTATAGCCTAAATAAATAATTGATATCATAAAAGTAACAGATTCTTGACTTCCTCAATATAACTCATTTTATCTGTTTTTGGATGATCTGAAATCTGCCCAGAGCTTGAACTGTTTTTAAATATCTAGCTCTAGTTTCTGGCCTGCTTGCATTCTTCCTTTTCCACTGAGAAGAGAATTCATTGTTTTCTGTCCCCCTGCTCCCCACAACACCTGCCCCCTCCCCCCAACACACAGACATTAGAGCAGGGAGATTCCACCACTCTCAGCAATGCTGACTGTCTCTGAGATACATGTAAGCTTAAATGTCCTTTAGGAAGTTCTCAGGTATTTTCAGCATATTCTCCAAAATTCCCTTTTCTGCTTCCAAAATACCTTTCTAGATTTAAAGTAAGTCCATTTTATAAGAACAATAACCTTCCAAATGATATTCATTGTAATGTAAAAACTACATTTTTCAGGATATACAAACAATTCCTGTTGAGCAACATACAATCATTAGTTCCAGATAGCAGGAATGTTTTTTCACTCTTTGTACTCTAAAGCTAGCCATTTCATGATACTTGAGAAATGGTTCTACCATTTATCTGCCTCTTTCACTCAATGGAAAATTAGACAAAAGACTAACACATCATTTTTTAAAAATATTCATGATGGGTGAATATAATACATATGATTACAGTTATTCACAATTACTCATATTCTGGAATGTAAGTTGCATATAATCACACATAACACACTTCTTCCTCCATTACTTCTTTATTCATATTTGAGCTTATATATTTCCACAAGTAATGGTTTAGATTCAAAAATTTCATCAAAAGAAATTGAAAAGGTTATATAAATGTCACTGCCTTGCTGCAAATTTTACATGCTCTTGCTGAACTCAACTCTGAACATCTGGACTAGATTTCTACTGTAAAGAAAAATACAGCTATGTGTAAAATAGTGTTCCTGGCAATAGATCTTTTACTGTAGAAGAGGCTTGAAAATGTGTGAAAAAGTCCTTCTCGTAATCACACATTACAAATACAATGCCCTCATTTTTTTTTCCTCTATGTAGTAATGGTGGATCTTAAAACGAAACTTCATACTGCTGTTTCTTTTCTTCATACTTCTGTAAAAGACTCTTCCATAAAAAAGAATCTTAATTACCTTATATATACCTTCAAAACTCAGAGCCTTTCAATTAGAATACAAACTGGCTTTTCTAAGTCATGTAGTAGATTACATTAAAGAAAAGAGGGTGTATGCATGGGGATTTTTGTTATTGTTCTTAAGAGTTACATAATAATGGCATTGATGACCATAAGGTCTACACATAAACTATCAAAAATGGAACACTTCAAACTATTTCATCAATGCAGTTAAATTTATTTTGGTCTCCTCATCTACCCTTTGAGATCTTGAAGGCAACCTTGTGTCTTCCTCTTGGATCCTTATCCCTGCCCCTCTTTTAATGCCTCGTGTTTTTTTTTTTTTTTGGCTTTTTTAAAAGGTATGTAATGTGACTATTGAAGAAAGTCTAGAAATTATAAAGAATGAAATTATTAATTTCACTACTACCACCTAGTAATGAGATTTTCTCACAATGTCTTCTTTTTTGTTTTTTAATGATGTAAAATTTTTAAAATAAGAATGGTTGAATGTTGAGGAAATTTAGAAAATATAGAAAAGTATAAAGAAAAGAATGAAATTACTCATAATCCTACCACCCAGTGATCGCCTATATTTACTTCGACTTCCCTCTCTCTCTATATATATCTTTAACTAAAGTAGCAAAACATTATATAGTCCTATATTACTCTTTTTCACCCAATTATATTGATGAGTAACAATTTACTGTCATTAAATATTCCTCAAAAATATAAATTTTAACATCTGTATAATTTACCATCTTGTTTCTGTATGAAGTCATTTGACCTTTCCCTACTCAGACATATTTTGAAAATTCTTAAATTGAGCTCATAAATGTGAATTAAATTTGGATTTTTTTTTTTTTTTTGAGACAGAGTCTCACTCTGTTGCCCTGACTAGAGTGCCATGGCTTTAGCCTAGCTCACAGCAACCTCAAACTCCTGGGCTCAAGCGATCCTCGTGCCTCAGCCTCCCGAGTAGCTGGGACTACAGGCATGCGCCACCATGCCCGGCTAATGTTTTCTATATATATATATTTTTTAGTAGAGACAGGGTCTCGCTCTTGCTCAGGCTGGTCTCGAACTCCTGACCTTGAGCGATCCACCCGCCTCGGCCTCCCAGAGTGCTAGGATTACAAGCGTGAGCCACCACGCCCGGCCTAAATTTGGATTTTTCTGTACTGCTTGCTCCATTTCTCTAGTATAATATTTGGGTTGAGAAAAAAAATAAAAAAATATATATACATTTGAAATAAATACAGGTTTTCTCAATTTAGATCAAAATCGACTTCATAGTACAACTTTCTCAATTTGTTGCAATATTATGGTAATAAACAACATTTTATTTTAACTAATAGAATAATAGCAATAATGAAACATATATTCAGCATGTTTAAAACTTTATTTTTCCCTGTAGAGAAAGAAAAATGATAGAATTGTGTACCTGGGGATATGATATAGAAGAAGTCTTTAAATTCATCCATCCAAACTTCTGCCAGTCTCCTGTTGTTCTTGTTGATGACATGACCGGTGCCACCAGGGAAAGTGTACGGAGTTGCCTTCCGAAAAACATGACCAACGTGGGAGCAAGTCACAATCTCCAATGAGCCTCCACATTGCCAAATCTAGGAAAATGAACAATTATTTTATAACAATCATTGTAAATAATGCAATAATATTGTATGAGAAGCAACTAAGGCTTAGGACAATTCGTCGGATCTCATACACTTGAAACAAATACAGATTGCCATGAAATTTAGAACTAGTACAGTACATTTACTTTGGTAAAAAATGCTAATTTGGAAGATCTTGATATATTTAAATATCTATAACATTGGAATCATCAAGGTAAGATGTAATTATTTTCATGTCCGTTTATTAGACTACCTAATTTCCAGTTTCTAGTAGTTAACTTAATTGCTATTTAATAGATTTGGTATCCAAATCTGCTATGAAAGGATGAATTTGTATATGTTAGAAGACATGGAGAAAAACTAAACTTGATTTGAAAAAAATCAATCTATTATTCTCTACCCACTTAGAATTTTAAAGACCATTCAATCCAAGCTGCCCATATCATTCCATCTTAAGACTTTGGATATGTTATTATTATCAAAATGTGCTGGGATGCATTTACATTTGCTGAACGTCTACACATCTTTCTAAACCCATCTTCAAGATCATTTCATCTAAGAAGTTCTGGGGAGAGATTTAGTATTGTGTGCTTTCTGTATTTTAAAACTGCTTTTACTGAAGAACTGACTGTATTCTATTGTAAGCAATTATTCCATTACTATTGTTCATTTAAAATTATGAACTGTTTAAAACATGCCATATATTTCTTGATATCCTAGGATTTACTATGCAGTTGAGGCTAAGTATTATGTAAAGTATCCATAAAATATTTATTTTTGTAAAATTACATTGTATAGCCTTAGGTTATGTTAACAGCATGTGTGTATAATAAATATACATAAAATTATGTATATTTATTATGTGCATGCTATAGGATTTTTATCACAATAAATAGAAGTAATAGTAACTGCTGTACAGAATTTGAAAGACATGATTTTACACTATAATTAATGTTGTTCTTATTTGATAGGTCTGATTGAAGTAGAGTTGGTTTATTTGAAAGAAAATGTTTTTCCCACTTGATAGTTCATGTAACATCCAACTTAAAAGAGAGCTGCTATTGTACTTAGGTAGCAGTAATAGACAATCATTTTTTATGAGAAGATGAAAGATAATAAATAATGAGTTATTCTCACCAAAAATTGTTTGTGCATTTCATGTATAATCTATAATTTGTTATTTTCTAATGGTTTGAATAGTGTAATGCTAGCATAAAAGTCATTCCAATCAAACATTGAAATATAGATCAATATTAAAGAAGAACGGAATTCACCAATCCCTTCAAAAGACAGGGGAACTTATTCTTAAATAATTGAAGTATTTCAATTGGTAACTTCCTCACCTTTCTAGCATGAAATGTAAAAACCTTCTTATAATTACATTTTACATTCCTTCTTCCTGTTAAAATGAAAGAACTTGATCCTTCGCCTGTTAAAGACAAATCAATACTTCCATGTAAGCCTTGATCATATCCCTTATATCTTTTTTTAAGGCTGTAACTGATTTGGTCATTTCCCTTGCATTTTTCCTGAAACATCAATTATTTCATTCATTATTAGATTATGTCTATTTTCGTATACTATCTTCTAAAATCTCTTACCTCTCAAATAGCTAAAAAAAAGTGAACACAATTTTGTAAAACACAACAAAAAATTCCTCACTCAGTCCATATCCACATCCAATATATTTCATGTCTGTCTTCAGGAAACACATCTAACCCACAAGGATATATTCAGACTCAAGGTGAAGGGAAGGAAAACAATATTTCATGCAAATGGAAGGCAAAAGAAAGCCGGTGTAGCAGTTATGATGTTAGACAACTTAGTCTTCAAATCCACAAAAGTAATGAAAGACAAAGATGGTCACTGTATAATGGTGAAGGGTACAATTCAGTGAGAAGACATAACAATTCTAAATATTTATGCACCTAACTCAGGTACACTCAGATTCATAAAGCAAATTCCACTTGATCTAAACAAAATTATAAACAGCAGCACTATAATAGTCAGGGATTTCAACAACCCTCTGACAGCACAGGACAGATCCTCCAAGCAGAAAATAAACAAAGAAACAACGGACTCAAACAGAACCCTAGGACAAACGGTCCTGACTGACATTTATAGAACATTCTACCCACAAACCACTAAATATATGTTTTTCTCGTCAGTTCATGGGCCATTCTCTGAGATTGATCATATCCTAGGCCACAATGCAAGTGTCAAAAAATTTTAAAAAAATAGAAATTATATCATGCATCTTCTCAGACCACAGTGGAATAAAGTTAGAAATCAACTTCAACAGAAACTCTCATCTCTACACAAAGTCATGGAACCTAAACAACTTTATGCTGAAGATTATTATGTTAAGGAGAAAATTGAGATGGAAATCAAAAGATTCTTTGAACTAAATGATAAAGGAGACACAAGTTATCAAAACTTTGGGACACAGCTAAAGCAGTCCTGAGGAAAAAAAATTATATCCATAAACGCCTACATCCAAAAAACAGAAAAATCACAAATCAACAATCTAATGAATTGTCTCAAAGAACTCAAAAAGGATGAGCAAACCAACCCCAAACCCAGCAGAAGAAAAGAAATAACAAAG